GGCTCATCAAGCAGGGCTGGCATGCAACTGGTGCTCAATAAATAATCACAGGGTAAATGATGCCTTCCAGGCACATTCAGGGTGACTCTGGGTTAAATGCTGTAAGGCATAGTGGCCTTTTGTGGTTGTTGCATTTTTTTTTTTTTTTTAGTGACTGCTGTTTGTTTCCATGATATAAGCTGTAACTTGTGATTTCCCTTATGTCATTCTCCCAATGCCTAGATGGAGCTGGACCTTTTCTGTCCAAGCTGTTGTGGGTTGGGAAGTCATAAAAATCAAGCTTAGTCAAATTGCATCTAAAGCATGTGCCTTCCCTTTTATGTAAAAGAAAGTTAATTACATATTGTTTGTAGAAGTAAACACCTAAAAACAAAGTAGCTAGCAATCAGGAAGGTCATTACAAAGTACAAAATGGAAGGTCCCTTAAGATATTTGGCTAAGTGGAAGAAGCAAGATGTAGAGCAGTGAGTAGTATTCTACCACTTGTGCAAAAAAGAGGAAAAAGGCCCAGGCCAGTGTTGTAAAGTGGTCAGAGCGTCGGCCTGCGCACTGAAGGGTTTCAGGTTCAATTCCTGGTCAAGGACACGTACCCGGGTTGCAGGTTTGCTCCCCACCCCTGGTCGACGCATGTGCAGGAGGCAACCAGTTGATGTGTCTCTTTTACATCGATGTTTGTCTCTCTCTCTCCCCGCTTCTCTCCCCCTTTCTTTCTCTCTGAAAAGCAATGTGGGGATTAACCAAACAGAAACAAACAAACAAACAAAAAAAACAAAAAAGAGGAAAAAGGAATATGTAGCTTCTTGATTAAAAACCTGGTATTCTGATATACCTCCTACAAAGTCGTTTTCGTTTGTGAATATAAACCTTCCACTTAGCCACCATCAGATTACACACTCCACTCAAAATGAATTTAAAACATCACATTTTTTTGCCTTGACCGGTTTGGCTCAGTGGATAAAACGTCGGCCTGCGGATTGAGAGGTCCCGGGTTCGATTCTGGTCAGGGGCATGTGCCTTGGTTGCGGGCACATCCCCAGTGGGAGGTGTGCAGGAGACAGCTGATCAATGTTTCTCTCTCATCGATGTTTCTAACTCTCCCTCTCCCTTTCTCTCTGTAAAACTTCAATAAAATATATATATTTTAAAAAACACAAAACATCACATTTTGCCCTGCTTGGTGTGGGCCACAGGTTCAATTCCTCATCAGGACACATACCCAGGTTGTGGGTTCAATCCTGGGTCAGGAAGTGTACGGGAGGCAACCAATTGATGTTTCTCTCTCTCAAATCAATAAAGAATATCCTTGGGTGAGGATTAAAAACAACAAATTACATTTTCAAAAACTTCCATAATTCTGACCTGCTTTCCTCTTAAATTAAAATCATACCATGAAGCTACCATATTCAAGGTGCCAGTCCATGAACAATCTCAAACACCCTCACTATGTGTCTCAGGCTTTACATAGACACAATGAAATGACCTGGGTGGGTGTGGGGGAAGGAGAGAGAACACATGCAAGCATAGTCCAAAGGTGAGGATAAGAAGAGGGTCAGAAGATGTGGGTTCACTTCTCCATCTGGAATTGGCGAGTAGCACATTGTAAATAATTCCTAATCTCCCTCCATTGCAAACCATTGAAAAAGTCTAAGTATCCTGAGGTATTAGAGCTTCAAATCCAAGCCATTCAGAAATCAAGATACCCCCCAAAACCATAAACAACTCAAAAAACAAAACCACCAAGAACTACACACAAAAAGATAATTAAAAATTTCTCAGTTCATTTCAAGTAATGATTATCACAGAGACATCAACAAAGTCTTGCAGATAAGATAAAGATTTTGTTCCCAAAACTTGAAAACATTCACAAAAGCTGGGTGAGATTTTCAAGCTGCGCTGTCTATATCAACGCTGCCAGCTGCATTTTTTGGTGCCATTTTCTATAATTCCAGTGCATGACACCTGCTCCTGCCTCAGCCACCAAAGGAGTCACCTACAAGATGGGAGCTGTGCTGATGCTAGGTGAGAATCTACTTAGTGCTCTAGGATCACTACTGTCTAGCCCTGGCAGAAGGACACTGCTGGCTCAGTCAAAATATTAAGAGCACTGGCCCTCACTCTCTACTTGGCTCAATTCTTCAACTATTACACAGTATTACATGTAGTAAAAGTGGTTCAATCAGTTGCCAGGTGAAAAGAAAAAGGGATGCTTAGATGTTCCAATCTGTTATGCTCTGAGCCACAGATTTTTCTAGAAGAATTATTTGAGTACTCAGACACTTCACACCCAGCCTGTCCCACCTTCTATCTGGCTTGATGTAAAAGTACCTCAGGCTGACATCTATGACTTAAAATCCACAAATCTCCTGCCTCTCAGTTTCCACATCTACCAGTATAGATGGAAGTTTCTGAAAATGTAACTTTTGTTTCTGTTGATTTTGAGCACCTACAAACTAAATAAACTCCCTTCACTCTGTCATCCACAGTCACTGACCAAACTTGTAGACTCTGAGCTCAGTTTCTCCTCTGATGGGCAGCCACCTGTCCAAGGTGGGCTCTCATGTGCCTGAGATTTAATCTTTGGTTGTGGCCACCTGATAGAGTTGACAAAGTTATGTTAAAGTTATTTTTCCCCACTGTATTTCCATGAAACAGAAGACAACTGTGGGCAATTCCTGTTGTGGTCATCCAGCCTTGGAGAGTCAAATCCAGCCATCTTACTAAGTCCTTCACTTCACAGGGGAGGCTGGTTAGGAAAATCTGGCCCTCTTCCTAGCAGTGGGATGTCAACAAAATAGGTTAGAAGTTTTGGCAGAGGAAGGGAGAAAGAAAAATCAAGTTTCTAAAAGATTGAAATCATTGTTTATCTAAAGGAGTTATTCTTTTTAGAAAAAATGTGTTTTTATTGACTTTAGAGAGAGAGAGGGAGGATAGAAAGATAGAAACATTGTCTGCCTACTGCACACCTCCTACTGGGGATCAGGCCTGAAAACTGGGCATTTGCCCCGACCAGGAATCAAACCAGTGACCTCTTGGGGTTCATGAGCCACACCGGCTGGGCTCTTTTTACTCTTTAACAAAGGTCCTTGCTAATATAAAAAAATCCCATCTCTATATATTTTCTCCGTAAGTAGTATGTCAGTTTGAAATCGAATACCTGTAACTGAATCCTATATTCCTCAGGAGTACAGGAATAGCCCCACTGGGTCAGGCCCTGTCCACCGTGGTCAGTGCCTAATCACCAGAGGAGCCTCCATTCTAGAATGTGCCTGACACCAAGTATTAAAGGTGAGGTAGAGACCAGCTTCTTCTGTAGCCCTTATGACTTTGCCCTTCACAAAGCAGTTCTCTTCCCTAAAAAGTTCACTTGCATTTCTTTTCTAAACCACCTCTTAAATGTTTGTTTCATATTGTACTCCTTATACATGTCCTAAACAGTCATATGTTTATTATACTCATGGTGCCCCTTGTTGAAACATTTGGGAGGTTTATGAACAAGTCAGTGTTTACCTCCTTACGGTCACTTATTATTTCATCAATTTGGATTGTGCTTTTTTCAGTCTTACTCTTTTGTCTGATTTGGTCCCCTTTCCAGATCTTGACAAGTTCCTCCTCCAAATCCCTTTGGGAGCATGGACTGGACTGTACAAGTACTCCTGGAGATGCACAGTGTAGTTTTTACATAAAGATGGGAGGATGTAAAAATAAGAAAAAATAAAGAAAAAAGGTGGAACAATGTATTGCTTTGTGTTCAAAGCCTTTTTGGTCAGAAGAGCAGACCTGCTAATGTCCTTAGGAATCTCCAACTTTCAGGTGACTTTCTTTTCAAACACAGATTCTCTCTCTTCTGGGCAGTCTGTGTCTCTCTCTCTCACATTTTCCCTACTGAAAGCCACCTGCTTCTTACCAGCTTTTTCTTTTGTAACAAGAGATCTATACCCTAACCTGATGTTTGCTGAACACCGGCTGTATATGCCAAAACCACACTATGGTAAATGACGCTACTTCTTTGTACAAGGTCGGGAGTATTTTTCTTACATGTAGATAAGAATGCAGAGTCCTAGAAAGATGAACTTGCCCAAATCAGAGTAGGTGAAAGTGGTATATGAATGCATGTTAGGCTGGTAACAAATCTAGAGCTCTTTCCCCAAAGTAATTCACTGCTCCCCAACAATCTGGAGAGTTCACCCTCAGATAATATAAAGATACTAAGTAAAATCTGCCTTAACTGATCACTAAGAACCCTCCTCCCTTCAGAGAAGTGCTATCGATCCTTACCCTTGCTTCCTTTTACGGAGTCAACTGCCTAGCCACATAAAGATAACATGTTAGTCCTACAATGTCTTAATTTTTAAATAGCTTTTTATATGGAACTCTATCAAGGAAGTTTAAAAAGCTTAAAGATATTAAATCTAGCAGTTTCCCTGTATCCACTTGCTTATGAATCCCCTCAAAAAACTTTAGCCAATGAGAAATCACATCATCACCACTACTGACACCATTAGGTTATTTTTGCATTCAGTAAGTGCATCCTTTTCATTGGCTTCACTTGGTTGCCTGTTGAGCATGGCAATGCACTCAACTCCAATTTTCTGTGTTTTATCTGTACTATTTCTTATACATAAGGACTACAGTTTATTTTTCTAAACCCCCAGAACTTTAAAAAACATTATCATAAAAACACAATGACACTCAGGCTTGCTGTAATCTGATTAAGTCCTCACATTCTATGAGTTCTCATTTTTCTTTCATACTTGGTTAGCTAAACGAAGAAGCACACAAGTTAGGCCAACCTTATTGCCTCTGTCATTCCCAAGCACAAGTTCTTTTCTTTGTTAAGGATATTTTTTCCACTGATTTTTAGAAAGAGTGGAAGGGAGGGGGAAATATAGAGAGGGAGAAACACTGATGTGAAAAAGATACATCAATTGGTTGCCTCCTACACGCGCCCCAACCATGGCCGGGGATTGAGCCTGCAATGAGGCATATGCTCTTGACCGGAATTGAACCCAAGACCCTTCAGTCCATGGGCCAACCCTCCAATCACTGAGGCAAACCAGCTAGGTCCCAAGCACAAGTTCTTTACCTGAGATGGGGAGCCTCTCTCTGCCCACATATCCAACTAAAAGACCCGTTATTTATAGAATCCAATGCCTAGAATACCCTTACTGTTCTTGCCTATACCAATTCTATCCATCCCGAGTTTGATTCAAATTCCATCTCTTACATCAGCCTTGACCTGGTCGTTCTCCACTGATCTCTATATATATTCTAGAGCCCTTTAATAATTATCTGAATCACTCATTCTGCACTTAACCCCATTTTAAATGTTTATGTCTTTGTCACCTGAGTTCCTGGAAGACGGGCACCACAACATTCGCTTTCCAAGTTCCCTTCGGTGTCAAGCAATTCGGAGTGTGGTTGTACAATCAGCACTTGTTTTATGCATCAGGATAATCTTTCTTGTGAAATCCATGGCATACCAGAACATTCTCTCTTCCAGAGTGTCTCTGGCTCTCACAGCTCCAGGATAGTGACCCCTTTGAAATATTGCCATCAAAAGGCTGCTAAGTTGGTTTGTAACAGAGAACTGGGGCTGGGTATATCAGTATATCTGTATGATGCCAGGCAAATGCTAAATCAAAATGAGTAAGCACTCTGACACATAAACTCCTGAGCAAATGAAGAACACTGTTTATAAGAGATTTTCCTATGGAATAGTATATCTTGCTTTCCAGGAATGTGTATTTTAATCATTGGTATTAAATTATCAGGAAAGTCACATTTTCCTAACCCCAGATTACATTTTCCTGTAAGAATCATAGACAGAAATATAACTTAAAGAAATCAAACCAACTAGCTAGACCTAAGTAATCAACTTGATGTAGTGATAAGAAAGTTAAACAAATCACTCAAGCAAATACATCTTCTTCCCCTCATTGTACTTTCCTATCAAAGAATCTCAAATTAATGGTTCTGATTTCAACTCAGGTCTGGTTAAAAGGCATTACTTTTACAACGTTAGAGTGAGCTCTTCAGTCTTACTAAAGAAAGCAGATTAAACAATTACTTTTATTAAGATATTTTAATTTTCACCGTATACCTCATGCATGAGCCAAATGATAAACAGCCATTAACGGAGAACCAAATGTGGGCTTTATAAAAGGAACTGCCTATGGGACGGGTAAAGAGATGTGAGAAACTATCTCAATGAGATTATTATATTTAGAAGGTGATGAGCCCTAGTTCTCACCTGACTGACATTATTATTAGCCCAGGACAGTTTCTGCAAGATAAGAATACCATCTTTTATCTAGGTATGAGGCCAGAATGATACGCATCCTTACAGACTATAGTAAGGCTGAACTAGGGTTCCTAGAATATTCTCAAAGCAGCTCAGACCCAGGGCAAAAGCTAAAAAAAGGCAAAGGGAAACTCTTGGTGAGTGCTACTCACTGATCCTCTGTTCCAAAAAACTTTACAAAGAAGCATTTCTTCCCACGAGGTTTCTTCAAATCCTTGGGTGGATTAACAATCTAGGGAATAAGAGGGGGAAAAAAAAGATTTTTTCCACAGCTCAAAGTTGGTAAAAAAAAAGGAATGTCTTAAAATAAAAACCCAGGGCCTAGAATGTTTAGACTTGGCACTTTTCTACAGAAGTTCCCTGTATCAAACATGTAACAAGCACAGTGTTCAGTAGATACAATTTCCTTTTTGTAATAGTCCTGTTTTAAAAGCAATTAAAATGAAGACCAACAGCCCCCACCCCCCTCAAAGTGACCCTATAATCACTGAAGAAATGTAAAGGACACTTTTGAAAATATTTCAAGGCAGGAAGAGTTGAGACAGGTAATAGTGACAATGAAAGTCAACTGAGGCAATGAAAATGCCATGCTGCAAAGAGACAGTCTAAAGACATTTCTTGGGCTCCTAGCAAGAATATATAAACAGAACATTTGGAAAGCTATGATGGATCGCCTCATGCGAAATTTGAAATGCCAACTTCTGCAAAGATGCACTGGAGCACCACATATGGTAACATGGAAAGAAGATTTAAACTGAGTTGGGACAAAAATACTTTGACTTTTTTCACTAACCTACATTTAGATTTCTCTCTTCCTGGAGAATTTATTTTCTTCTCCTTTTGTTACATTTAAGTATAAAGCTAAATTCAAACTAGAATTGATTTCCAGAGTGAAAAGACTCCATCAAAACCATCTCTGATTCAAGAAATAAGCAATCACTGCAGATTAAATGACCTGATTTACATATTGGCTTTTCTAAATGAACTGATATTAGAGAAAAAATAATTCTGATTGGCATTTAAATAGGCACAGTTTCATTCAAGGTTAGAAACTGAGGGGAATGCATCTGCCATTCGTCACCTCTTCACACCCAACTTCAGAGGCCTTCCTTTAGCTTAGTGGCAAGACACTCACCTTTCCCGGCCATGGAGGGTACCGTCCGAGTTTCCCCCTAGAGAAAACACAGAGAGTCAGCATTTGCCCTGGAAAAGCTTGTCCGCTTCCTGCAACCCACTCAACATGCCATTTACTGCCCTAAATCTCCACTTGCATCCTCCAGCGCCAGAACAAAAGCTGGCAAACAGGAGTTCTTAACTCCTGGCTTCCATGGATGGCCCCACAAGTCCAAACCCCTCAGAACTGGAGTGCAAAATTGTACACATATGCGCAGAAGGTGTGTGCATTCCTCTGGCAACAAGGGGTACAACAAAACCACCGAGAGTCACTTGTCTAGAGCCCCCCCCTTTGGTGGGGGTGGCGGACAGTTTGCTCTGTAAACACAGACTTCCCCTCGCAGTCTGGTTCAGTTCACCGCGAGCCCAGTCCGTCCTGCCAAATGCTAATGGAAGCCTTCCTCTGGGGTCAAGAAACAAGCTACGCAGCTAGAGAGGCGGCGACGGTCGGTCCTGGTTCGGGCGGTTGTCTGGGGCACAGAAGCGGACTGCGAGAGGCACACAAGAAGGTACTGGTCACTGCCAAGCCTAAAGGAGAAGTGTCCCCTCCATGTCTTCACGGGGCAGCGCCATCAGTCCGGTTTCGACACCCCCCCGGCTGAGCCGCCCGCACAGGTCGGTTCTATCGCATCACGGGTTTTAACGGGCTCGCCCGGACGGTATGGCCCCGCGGGCTCCCCGCGAACCCCAGCAAGACCCAGAGGGAACCGGCGATCGCGGCCGACGCCCTTCACAGTAACCGCCGGCGTCCGGTCTGGAGCGTAGCTCTCTA